ACGGTCGAAAGTTTATCTTACCAGAAGCAAAATGTCTCCTTGCATAAGCCGAAACGGGATGACATTGAGATATTAGCAGCTAGCTTACATTAGCCACCTTCGAATGGGACGCATCTGAGCCAAGTTCCTGTGACAGGGAACACATGTTGGCTTTGTGCTTTGACAAGCGCACTGACATCCCTTGCTTTTTAATTTTATTACGCACCTAAGTGGGATGAACAACAGACGGAGCGAAACCCATAGTCACGAGGACCTGCTGATCAGTGATGGAAACCGGTACCATTAGCCCCGGGACTTCGAGTGACGAACCACATAAGGTCCCGATAGGTTAGGTATTGAACCGGACGATAGCAAAGCTGCCTACCAACAAAGTCGGGTATCGGTGGCTGGGCTTTAACCTCGGACCACAGGGTCAAAAGTACGCCGGTGACAGCGACTAAGCCACTGCGCCACCACCACCCAGGAACCGATCGTTGTCCTCCATCTCTCATTGGGTGCATGAGAATAAGAGCCAATCCCGAAAAGAGGACCAGCGAACGACACAATTAATCGAAATTCAAAGGCTTTGAGTGACAGGTCTCCAGAAGCTCCCCCACGCTCCTGCGTTGGATGTCCGTACCACTGCCTTGCGAGTCAGACTTTTGAGTCAAAGGCTCCGGTTAGGGTTCCCAAAGAAAACCCCCTTCGTCGGTGTGGGTTGCCGCAAAGTATGTTGTGCCCTAAAGTCTTAGGCACCTATTTTGAAAAACCTCTTTCCCATCCGTCTAGTTCTTCCAATCTCTCAGAGACAGAGACTGCGCAGCGACTGTACCAACCACAGGTGCATAAACTCAAGCTCACTAGGGTCAGAGCCTTTAGCTTATCTTTTTTCGTTAATGGTAGGTACACTATTATATTTGAAGAACAGGCCCGTAAGAAACCGGTTAGATTTCACGCCGGTAGAGGGATGCATCGATCAAATCTTGATCATCCATTTCTAGCTAGAGATTAAGGATTATTCTGAATTCTGACACATCAAAGTGACGTGTGACTCCAATGATGAGACTGCATTATGGAACTGTTTGTCCAGAAACGGAGTACCTGAGAAGTACGCACTAGTCCTCGAAGAGTTGTCTTGTCATACCTCGGGCCTATAGCGAACCTTGTCACCCTCTGAAGTCCCCAACATTGAGGAGGTTCAGCAGAATGCCCTGTTTGGTCTAGCAAAAAGTGGAGTGGAACTCTTTTGAAACACGACTATTGATTAAGAAGATGCTGATGACGTCGCCTTGCTGCGTGGCAATGAGCAGGTAGGGACCAACTTTCTTCGAACCGCTTATTGATCGAGGCATTCAGGTATAGTATTGCACCATTCAAATGCAGTGATTGTACAAAACTGGCAGGAGTTTGTACCGGTACTCACTCTTGGTGGTGGTGACCAACTAGAAGTAGCTGAGTGTTTGATTGCAGCTGAAAGTGCAGTGGGGAAAGAAAGTACATAACGAATAGCAAGATCTACGGCAGCTTTTGCCAACCTGCCGCCATAATAATATCCGATTTTCCCATAAGGGACAGGTATATATCGCCTAGGTTCGTAGCGTTTTGCTTCGCGGTTGCGAGACTTAATCCCGAACTTTTATGTCCCATTCCCGATATCTTACTTGTGTCTCATGGGAACAACGGGCGAGCAATAATGAGGTTCGTCGACACTTGTTAAGTGCTGATAGTGGTTTTCTGAAAGAGGAAATCGCTTTACATCACCTCGGATGGCTCAGTTAAGCTGTCCGCACGGCTCTCCTTGAGCCGTTAGCACATGCCGGGCAAAGACTAGAAAAAACAAGACGGGGCGGCCAGATCCTGACCTCACCTTTACGGTATGAAGAAGCTGGATTCGGTTGGCGTTTCGCGTCTTTCAGGTTATGATTCAACAGTCCAGAAATATCGGCGCTTAGAGATTTGGCTCAGAACAGAAGTCGATCGCGCAAATGTACGGTTTCCGTACAAGTGACCGTAAAAAGAGAAGCAAACGGACAGATAAAAAGTAAATCTACATCTGATTCAGTTTATTCAACCAAACACTCGGAAGCACTAGACTCAATTTTCGCTCTTCTTTGAGCTCATTATCAAAATGCGACTCCTAATCCTCTTAGATAGGCGGGTGCGAAGTAAACCGAGGGGTCGAAACGCCTCGGCCACATTAACTACGTGATTTGATTCTACTAGGTGTGAAACGATTGAGCTGTTACTGATCCTAGTGTAGTCATCATTTCTCCCTCCTTCTACACAGTTTGATATAAATTGTGATGTATTAGGCCGTAGAAAAATCACCGCAAACGAGCTTGTTCGCTATTTTTTGTTCTCTCACAATGGATAATGACGGTATATTCGGACAATTCGGTCCAGCCATAGTGTGAGCTGGTTGTCACAGAGGTAACACGCACACACGCCTTCCATGCGATGGGTCCGAAGTTCAAATCCCGGATGGTGGGGCGGTGGATGTACACTAGTGATGAGATTTAAGGAGAGTGAAACTGGAGTCTAATGCCTCCGAGTGTATGATTGAGTCGATGAACTGAGGATTGTGTGCGTGAAGGTGAAGTACGA